AGTGCAGGTTATAGAGAGCCAGAGAGAGCGTACTGCTCAGGGAGTGCTGGTTATAGAGAGTCAGAGAGAGCGTACTGCTCAGGGAGTGAAGGTTATAGAGAGTCGGAGAGAGCGTACTGCTCAGGGAGTGCAAGTTATAGAGAGCCAGAGAGAGTGTACTGCTCAGGGAGTGAAGGTTATAGAGAGCCGGAGACAGTGTACTGCTCAGGGAGTGAAGGTTATAGAGAGCCGGAGAGAGTGTACTGCTCAGGGAGTGAAGGTTATAGAGAGTCAGAGAGAGAGTACTGCTCAGGGAGTGAAGGTTATAGAGAGTCAGAGAGAGAGTACTGCTCAGGGAGTGAAGGTTATAGAGAGCCAGAGAGGAGTGCTCAGGGAGTGCTGGTTATAGAGAGTCAGAGAGAGCGTACTGCTCAGGGAGTGAAGGTTATAGAGAGTCAGAGAGAGCGTACTGCTCAGGGAGTGCGAGTTATAGAGAGCCAGAGAGAGCGTACTGCTCAGGGAGTGAAGGTTATAGAGAGCCGGAGAGAGCGTACTGCCTAGGGAGTGCTGGTTATAGAGAGTCAGAGAGAGCGTACTGCTCAGGGAGTGAAGGTTATAGAGAGCCGGAGAGAGCGTACTGCTTAGGGAGTGCTGGTTATAGAGAGTCAGAGAGATCGTACTGCTCAGGGAGTGAAGGTTATAGAGAGCTGGAGAGAGCGTACTGCTCAGGGAGTGCGATTTATAGAGAGCCGGAGAGAGTGTACTGGTCAGGGAGTGCAGGTTATAGAGAGCCAGAGAGAGTGTACTGCTCAGGGAGTGCATGTTATAGAGAGACAGAGAGAGTATACTGCTCAGGGAGTGCAGGTTATAGAGAGCCGGAGAGAGTGTACTGCTCAGGGAGTGCAGGTTATAGAGAGACAGAGAGAGTATACTGCTCATGGAGTGCATGTTATAGAGAGCCGGAGAGAGCGTACTGCTCAGGGAGTGCAAGTTATAGTGAGCCAGAGAGAGCGTACTGCTCAGGGAGCGCAGGTTATAGAGAGACAGAGAGAGTATACTGCTCAGGGAGTGCAGGTTATAGAGAGCTGGAAGCGTACTGCTCAGGGAGGTACGATTATAGAGAGCCAGAGAGAGCGTACTGCTCAAGGAGTGCAGGTTATAGAGAGCCAGAGAGAGTGTACTGCTCAGGGAGTGCAGGTTATAAAGAGCCGGAGAGAGCGTACTGCTCAGGGAGTGCAGGTTATAGAGAGCCGGAGAGAGCGTACTGCTCAGGGAGTGCAAGTTATAGAGAGCCAGAGAGAGCGTACTGCTCAGGGAGCGCAGGTTATAGAGAGACAGAGAGAGTATACTGCTCAGGGAGTGCAGGTTATAGAGAGCTGGAGAGAGCGTACTGCTCAGGGAGTGCAGGTTATAGAGAGCCAGAGAGAGTGTACTGCTCAGGGAGTGCAGGTTATAGAGAGACAGAGAGAGCGTACTGCTCAGGGAGTGCAGGTTATAGAGAGACAGAGAGAGTGTACTGCTCAGGGAGTGCAGGTTATAGAGAGCTGGAGAGAGTGTACTGCTTAGGGAGTGCAGGTTATAGAGAGCCAGAGAGAGTGTACTGCTCAGGGATTGCACGATATAGAAAGCCTGAGAGAGCGCGTATTGCTAAGGGAGTGCAGGTTATAGAGAGCCGGAGAGAGCGTGCTGCTCAGGGAGTGCGGGTTACAGAAAGCTGGAGAGAGCGTACTGCTCAGGGAGTGTTGGTTATAGAGAGTCAGAGAGAGCGTACTGCTCAGGGAGTGCAGGTTATAGAGAGCCGGAGAGAGCGTACTGCTCAGGGAGTGCACGATATAGAGAGACAGAAAGAGCGTACTGCTCAGGGAGTGCAGGTTATAGAGAGCCAGAGAGAGCGTACTGCTGAGGGAGTGCAGGTTATAGAGAGCCAGCGAGAGCGTACTGCTCAGGGAGTGCAGGTTATAGAGAGCCAGAGAGAGCGTACTGCTCAGGGAGTGCAGGTTATAGAGAGCCAGAGAGAGCGTACTGCTCAGGGAGTGCAGGTTATAGAGAGCCCAAGAGAGCGTACTGCTCAGGGAGTGCTGGTTATAGAGAGCCGGAGAGAGTGTACTGCTCAGGGAGTGCAGGTTATATAGAGCCGGAGAGAGCGTACTGCTCAGGGAGTGCTGGTTATAGAGAGCCAGAGAGAGTGTACTGCTCAGGGAGTGCTGGTTATAGAGAGCCAGAGAGAGTGTACTGCTCAGGGAGTGCTGGTTATAGAGAGCTGGAGAAAGCGTACTGCTCAGGGAATCTGTTTTATCCAGCGCTGGTGTTAAGGTGACAGGGTGCACATTAGTGTGAAGCATTTCATTAAATTACAGTTCTGATTTTATTAATTTTGTGTTATTCAGTTTGAAATGCCATATGCTCAACTACTGATTCTGACAGTAAAATCTAGCTGTTTGGTATTGCTTTACAAAGCAAAAAAAAAAAAAGGACCCCAAAACTAGTACAATTATTATTGATTGTAAGTATTGTACCTCCCCCAAGACTGCTTCCTCGCAGCTATCAGGGACCCTGGAGCACTTCAGGCCCAGTTGCCGAGGCTTGACTGGGATCGCTCAGGGCCTTTTCCACTCTGGACCAAACACCAGACCACACTTGGTGAAGGTTAAAACAGCAACTCAGTTTAATAGACATACCACACATATTTTAAACCCCCAACAGCCTCATTTACATTCAATAGGTTACATAGAGCACTATAGTACAAGGAAGGATGGGGGTCAGACAACAGCAAGGGCTGATGGGAGATTGAGGAGGGACAAAGCAGCCAGTTTAAACTGGTCTGGCAGTGTCCCTGGGACAACGCCCTGCTGGAGAACAATAGGACAGGAAAAAGGGGGAGGGGGAAAGGCACAGACAAGAAATACATTCAACATACTCTGCACCATGAATGCTGACTACTTCGATCAACAAATCCTGTTACCCTTCCATTCCCAATAAGTAACGCAACACCATTTAACGTGGGTAAGAGCAGCGGCTTATTTAAACCAGCACAGCCAAATACTGCCAGCTGCTAGTTTTACACTTCTTCCAGAGCCTCTTCAGTCTGTCCTTCATCATCAAGCAAATTCAGGCTGTGACTCCCCAAGCCCGTCCGGGCATTAATCATTTACCAAACTTGCTGGCTCAGGAAACCCGAGAAAACACAACAATTCCAGAATGGAACAATCGGGAAGGGTGTGTGTGGAAAAACACTGCCAGGCTCCCTTAGCATTGTTCACCAGTAGTCTGGTAATGTCGTCAGAATTCCCTGTATCCATTTGGTTGCTATGCCAACTCCTGAGGGCAGCAGTCATGTTTCCCCCTCCCTATTCACTCCGGGGGTTGGCCTTGGCTGGGCACAGGGTGACCAAAACACAAGAGGAATCTGGGGACCTACATATAGTGTCTGTCTTCCATCCCCAGTGACGGTGACTACCGTGAAAAGCATGCATTAACTGGGTTGGTAATATATCTTGCAATAATGTTACTATTTCCATTTATTGTAATATCTGCCTTTACTCTTACTTTTGTTTTGACACTGACCGGTTTTATCCACAGAAAGGGACCAGAAACATGGATATAATGACAGTGCGCGTCAAGTCAAAGAGATCAAAAGACTAGAAAAGTCACGTGACTCTTTGGAAGAAGCAGAAGATGGGGATAAAGTGGGTTATGAGAGACGAGTGACGGAGACTCAGAATTATATTGAGTCTAGAGATGAAGATTGTGCTGCATTGTTACAAAATATACTCACTAATCATAGCAAAGAAACATCAGAATATATACAGAAACGCTCACGGGTACAAGAACAGCTGGAATGGTTACTAGCTCAACTTTGTCACAAAGAAACAATGATAAAAACCCAACAACAAACAATACAGGAGCAGGCGCGATCATTACAGGAGAAGGAACACACAATACAGGAGCAGGCGCGATCATTACAGGAGAAGGAACACACAATACAGGAGCAAGCGCGATCATTACAGGAGAAGGAACACACAATACAGGAGAAAAGTTGTACAATTAAAGACAAAGAATGTACAATAAAGGAGCAGATACAATCATTGAAAGAGAAGGAACGTACAATACAAGAGTATACAAAAAAAATGAAAACAGTGGAGAACAGACTACAGGACCAAGAAGAGTTAACAAAAACATGTATATGTGAAACAGAAATGAAAAATTCTGAAATAGTAAAGATGACGCATACATTGAAAGAGAAGGAAAGCAAAATAGAGGAGATGACGCGTACATTGAAAGGGAAGGAAAGTAAAATAGAGGAGATGACGCGTACATTGAAAGGGAAGGAAAGTAAAATAGAGGAGATGAAGCGTACATTGAAAGGGAAGGAAAGTAAAATAGAGGAGATGACGCGTACATTGAAAGGGAAGGAAAGTAAAATAGAGGAGATGACACGTACATTGAAAGGGAAGAAAAAGTAAAATAGAGGAGATGGAGCGTACATTGAAAGGGAAGGAAAGTAAGATAGAGGAGATGACGCGTACATTGAAAGAGAAGGAAAGTAAAATAGAGGAGATGACACGTACATTGAAAGGGAAGAAAAAGTAAAATAGAGGAGATGGAGCGTACATTGAAAGGGAAGGAAAGTAAGATAGAGGAGATGACGCGTACATTGAAAGAGAAGGAAAGTAAAATAGAGGAGATGACGCGTACATTGAAAGGGAAGGAAAGGACATGAACGAAGCAGACAGAGTCATCAGATGAGAGCTTGGACAGAATGATGAAGCAGGCAGTTGAAAGCCAAGTTAAACACAATACAACGGAAAACAAAAACACTGCAAGAGCAACACTAGAAACTACCGGAAAGGACCATTAAAAATAATATGATAATACACTCAGTACAAGAACCAGAAGCAAAAACCATTATTAATGAATAACAAGAAAAAGAACAGAAACAGATATTTGTTTTGAGAAAATAAAACAAGTAATGGGAGTGACATAGGCACTGCGGAACAGGGAACACTAACTATAGAAGCATAAAAACACAATACCAGACATCCCAACATGCAAAAACTAATTTCAGGAAGGTGATTAACCAGCTACTGTGCCCCCTTCCACAGTCTCTGGAGTGGGTCATAGTGGGGTGATGGGGGCTGTAGTGGAGGGTGTAGCGGAGATGCAATATTACCCAGGTTATCTCCGCTTATAATCCAAGTGGGACTCAGGAACAAGTAAATAGTAAATCCACAGGCAAGGCTTCCAGCAGGTAAAATACAGCAATATCCCAACAGCAATCCCAATAACTGGACAACACACAGTTTCAGGAGCATAACTGAAAGCCTTTAATCCACAGTCTCCTTATAAAGCATGCTCCCATGCAAGGGAGGGATTTACAGTAATTATTACAGTAGCCAATCCTGTCCTGGTAACCTCCCACACATCTCCTCCCCTCAGCCAGCATCATAATCCCCTTATCCAGCACACCAATTCCCCCCGTTTCTGGATGTACCCCTAAACGTAGGGGTACCTCTTTAAATCCTACATCCCCGGATACCCCTGATCTGGGTGAACAACATATCCAAAAATCACCCAGATCAGACCAGGGGTTCGGGAAAAGTATGGAGGGAATAAAATGACCGACCGCACGAACTGAGATAGCCGAATCCGGTTCCATGCGAATGGGCCCTGCGGTCGGTCCTGGCATAAGGGAATAAAATACACGAAAACCTCTAGCTATAGAGGCTAGGGAGGGTTCGCCTGAATCCCCTCGTTCGGTATTTTCTATCTACCGAACGAGGGGCCGTTCGGTAGTTTGGAACCGAACGGACCAGGGCTGTGGAGGTCTCAGCGGTGTTCGCCTACTCGAGTGTCCGATTTTAGTTCCAGACACTCGACGGCAAAACACCGCTGTTCGGGAGTTTTAAAATGCCGCCACGTGTTCGTTTGTCGAATGGCGGCCACCCCCGAGAACAAAGGACGGCTACTTACTGTTCAATTACCCGTTCGCAACAATGTTGCAACGGGTAATTGAGGACACACTTCACACAGGGAGGTCTGGTTGTTCGGTAGTTTCATTCGAATAAACTAAGGGAATGAAACTACCGAACAATCAGAGGAATACAATTCTCTTTAATACATAGAAAACACAGCAGATACACGAATGCAGGTATATACAGTATATTTGTAGGGTCGCCTGGTGCTATCCGCTACAGAGGGTATAGGCTGTAATTGGGTGGTTAGGAAATGTAGTGTGGGTTCCCTTATGGAGCTGCACACACTATCCCATTAGAGAGCGCCTTGTCTCTCAGTCAAACTGCTCACCGCCGGAGAAAGGATACCCAACAGGACTTCAAGGGGACCCCTCCTCTGTTATGACAGGTAAAACAGAAGGAATCTTTGTGTGTGCAGAGCCTGTGTTCTCGGAGGCAGCTAATTGCTGATTTGCAGGAGGGAGGCTAGTGGGAGGTATGAAAGGAAGGGGGTGGGAGATATCGGGGAAAGATATGAGGGGGTGGGAGTATTGGGGGAAGATGAGGATAGAAAGAGGGTGGAAGATATTGGGGAAGATATGAAGGGGTTCGAGATGTTGGGGGAAAATTTGGATGGAATAGGGGGGGGGATATTGGTTCCCCCTATGCCTCCTATTGCAGCCTCAATCACCCCACTTGCAGCCTTGTAGTAGGGGATATGGATCCCCTACTACAGATCCCATAAGACTCCTTATGGAGCCAACCTGAATATCCCGGTAATCTATTTTCTTTTGGATTTTTTTGTGAGAGAGAGTTTAATGGTCATTCCTTATGATAAGAAATGACCATTTTACTCTTGATCTCAAAAAAAGTTGGTTACTGGAAAATTGTAGAGTCCAGGAGCCGCCATTAAAATGCGGGAGACTACTGGAATGTCCAGGAGAGTTGGCATGTTTGCAAAACATAAAAAGAAACACACAATACGGCATATACACACATTATACACAGCGCACTTACACACATTATACACAGTGTTCATACACATATTATACACAGCGCTCATTCACATATTATATACAGTGCACATACACACATTATACAAAGTGCACAGGCACACATACACAACGCGCATACTCAGATTATAAAAAAGTGCGCATTCACACATTATACACACTGCACTTACACACATTATACACAGTTCGCATACACACATTATACACAGCTCGCATACACACATTATACACAGTGCGTATACACACATTATACACAGTGCCCATACACACATTATACAAAACGCGTGTGGCAGCAATCACTGCCTGTCCATGAATTGCCTGTCCGATCTTATGTCCATCTTTTCGTTTCCTCTGCCTGCTCCACGTTTGTGATTGCATCCACAAAGGTAATTAATTTGCCTCCAGAATGGGGACCAACCCCAAAACCCCTTTTAGAATGTGAGTTTAGACAAAGGGACAGTCCCTTTTTCACCCACTTGGTCTCCCAGTTACAGAGACTCATGAGATAAAAGCCCCCCTGTCCCTGGTTGTGGGAAACCCTGTGTTTGGGTGGCAGGCTTTTGGAGACAAAGGGGCAAAGCCCTGTTATGCTTTAGGTTCCAGAGGAGGGGGAGGATCCTGGGAGGGGACATTGTATGCTATGTGTTACACCCCTTGCATGGGGTTATGTTTAAAAGCCGTGTGTGGCAAATAAAGTGATTTTTGTACCTCCAGAACTGTGTGTCGTCCTATATATAATTTTTAGTGTGAGTGGTATAATCTTATTTAGAATTGGATCATCCCTTAATAGGTGCCAGTTTTTTTAATTGCCTGTTGTATTTTTCTGTTCCATCCATTATAATTACAAATAATTATTTGTATCCTATTTTGGATAGTTCCCCTTTCTGTTTGTATCTAAAAAGATTTCTTCTGGGTTGTTTCCTCACTTCTTCGTATCATGTTTCTGCAAATTCTCTTTTTAAATAATTTGCCTGTTCTACATAATCTGAATGCTCTGTGCAATTTTGTCGGATTTGGAGGAATTGTCCCCTTGGGGCATTCGTGAGACATGATTTATGGTAAAAGAGGGTTTTGTCTATATAGCTGATGGCATCTACAGGTTTGAAATAGGTTTGAAATAGTTTTTTGTCACTATAGCTAGGTCTCGGATACTGATATTGAGGTCCAAAAAGTTGATTTCTGTTGGAATACTGACACAAGTGAAAAAAGGAGATGGAGAGGTGTGACAGATTCCCTGTCCTTTGATTATGTTTTTTCTTTTACTGGTATACGAACACCACTGAACAGATTGAACACTGGTTTGTATACCGAACTATATACCGAATGGATTGACCATCTAGAACAGTCATGTGCCACTCATTAACCTACCTGACCTCTTTTCACACTTTCGAAAACCAAAATTCCCAATATTCTAAGTGGATGGCTCGATGTTCGACGTTCGTATAGACGAGCACGAGGCGGTGACCATCTTAACTTCGCAAACGCATCCAGCGGTGTTTGGTTGTCGAGTGTATGGAACTAAAATCGACCACTTGAAGGCATGAACACCACTGGACTTCCAGCCCCAAGCATGTTCACTTTAATTCAACTCACAGGAGCAGGGTTTGGTAGAAATAAACTCCCAAACAAGGGGCACTCTACCCCTTTCATACAAACAGATGTTTTTGGTATTTTATTATGTATTGTAATCCTGAAAGAGACCGACCGCACAGCCTGAATCTATGGAACTCTTTTGGGTAGGCGCCTTGTGTGCGGTCGGTCTAAACTATACCCCGGTGGTGTTACGTTCATGGGATCTGAGCGCTTTTCAGATATGTTGTGCGCTCAGATCTCAGCTATCCAGGGATATAGAACTTGAGGGTGTATGTTACGACACGTACCGTCGGGTAGATGAAGCCGCCGTTTAGGCAATAATCCCCTTCTCTAGAAATGCAGTTTAAATCCAGCCGATCGCCAAACTCCCGAACGAAGTCCACGAACACGGCAACTCCCGATCAGCCAAACAGTCGAACGCCTTCCACATCTAGAAATAACGAAAGCGCTGTCCCAGTAATAATTCCCCCCACAAACGAGACCAAGCTCCGTCTTGAGGGTCAAATGAAGATCTGTTTAATGGGGGCTACCTGCCCGGTATTTATGCAGGTCTCCACAAGGTGGACACTCCCCGAGGGGACCTTGTGGAAGACTGTACAATATATTAGACAGTAGCCAATCGCAGTGGCTTCAATAATAGCCCTTCCCATTTTACCCATAAATCCATCTTCTCTACCCCAGAGATAATTAGGAAGAAACCTAATTATCTCCCAAGGTAGAGACAATCGCCATTTTACATTACAGTAGTAAAAATACATTAAAATACATAACTGAAGAAATACCGAATGAATATTGTTCGTGTAACGTATCCCCAGACAGCCTGGATCTGAGTGCATGTTTTCACCGAATAGCGCTCAGATCCGATGTATCTAGTCGAATCGCCATGGAGTCAAAGTCTTTCACCAGTCCTTCGGTATACGAATGACTCCATGGGATGGCTGTCGGGTGAAAGTCCATACGAATGAATAAAACTCCCGAACGACCGACGTTCGCATGCCTTGTCGAAAAGGAAGGTAGGCAGCAGCTTTTCAGCGGTGTTCGGTAGTTTAAGTGTCGTTTTTAGTTCCATACAGTTTGTACCGAACACCGCTCTGTGTTCGTATGTCCCAAAATGGCCGCTGCCTCGTGGTCGACATGCGAACGACGACTACCCGTACGAATGGAATGGAGAGGTGTCTGCGGTTAACCACAACGTTCTAATTGGGGCCAAGAGGTTAACCAGCAGCACACTCCTCTCCTGGGTGGTCGTTCGTTCGGTAGTTTCAATCGGCATTTTGCAAATTATACGAACGGGGGTATAGGAACAGGCAATTCCGCGAACAAAGGGAAACAGACGAACCAACAATGCAGATGAATCTGTCACAGTGTACTTAGTTGTTAAATGTCTATTTTTGGGTGTATTTAACCTGTATGTCCTGGACCTGAGAGTTAATGTAATTATGTTGTGTACTTTGTGTCAGTCTACTCTCAGGTCCAGTGGGGAATGCCCCTGAAATATGTAAAAGGAAACCCCTTGCATGGGAATTCACATTAAGGCCGTGTGTTGTCCCATTAAAATCAGTTCCTGCTTACCCTCAACACAGAGCCTCGTCTCGTGATTGAGGGAACCGCTATACCTAATTTGATTACCGCTTGGGAATGCTGCTTAGGAATATTGTAGCATTGTTCAGAAAGGTCATCTCTGATGGCGGAAACTCCTCTTCTCTCGGGGTAGCTGCCACAAGGGGTATCTGGGGGGTATTGATCTATATGCTTCTTGGTGACTGGTTGTGGCTATTGGTAATTCTGGCCTTTTCGTTGTAATTTTCTTTAAATTTCTTCCTTCTTTGGCCCTTTGTTTTGGGGTACCCTCCCTCACTACATCACTATAGCTTTTGGAGTTTGGTGTTTGGGAATGTATTATTGGTTGTCTGAATATTCTAGTCTGTTGGTGTCTCTTATTCGAATTCCAGTTTCCTCTTTCCTCAAATCTTCTCATATTTCCCCTCTGAGGTGGGGGGTTCTGATGGTTATGTCTCCATCTACCCTGATTCCTTGGTTTTGGGGTATTTTTATATCTATCTTCCTTTGTGGTTTTTCTTATATTATCTGTTTTGTATTCAGTAAGGTCCCCTATTTTTTTTTCTTGTCATTCTCTATTATGTCACTTTCTATTTTGTCTACTTTAGTTTTAATTTATTTAATGGTTGTGTTG